ATCTGAATTTCACCTGTCGTGTGGTCCAGTATTCTCTGGTGTGTCAGGCCTGGGTTGGTCCAATATTCACTAGAATTTTAACCCTAGTTTGGTCTGCTGGTCTCTGGCATCGTCCCAGTTCCTCTCATATCATCTTGCGTTATAACCCTGACTCAGTTGATTGCAATGGCACCACACTTATTTACACGTGGTCCGCTCTTTTATTTTCAGATGACGCACGTGACATTTATTTTCAAAATAATGTTGACAACACTGGACTCAACAAAGCTCAAACAACTCAGTGAATATTGGTGGTTCTGCCTGTTGGTCTGTAAAGTGGGACATTATTATGACATTACTCTGTAATATTTGCTCAGTGTTTATAGATTTCTTGACAGTCCCACAGATTGCCGCTGTAGGATGACTCATTTTTATGTAGCTGCTAATTCTCTGGTGATAACACCTGCATTTTTTGTTTTCGTCCAAGCTTATTACTGAGGGAATTTAAACTGTTCTTCAGGGTGTGTTGTTTTATCTATCTTATCTATCTCTTTATCTATTCTATCTATTTTGATCAGGTTAGTTTTAACAATAAATATAAATCAGTTTTGCGCTTCATAAGTCATAAGGTGTATTAGCAGTATATTGGGTTGTGTGTTATAATACTTTCTCCGTAGACTGAAAATACATCCTCCACTAATTCTGATGCAACTGCAGAATTCCCCTGCATGTTAAAGATATCAGTATGTTGCCTTCCATTCACATGCATTTTAGGAAAAAATGCATAATAATCACAACATATATTTGAGGGATGTTCATACTCACTGTTACATCCCCATAAAATATATTAAAGTGTATTTACTACTGATAAAAACGCACAGTGATTTCCTGTTTGAACATTACAGAGACACAACAGAAATGTCTTGGTGTATCTTTCTCCCCTCCGCCCTTTCATCCACAGCCAGATGGGGGGCATCCTCCTTCCCTCCCCCGCCTTACCGGGGCCGTGCTCGGTCGGCGTCGCCCCAGCGTCCCTGCAGCGCAGCACCAGCAGGAAGCGGACCGTCTCACCCAGGTAGAGGTGGCTTCGGCGGGGAAGAGTACGGTAGCGGGCCGGGTCCGACAGATCCGTGATGGGCACAGCCGGGAAATACATGAAATACTCGCACTGCGACTCCATCATCTGCACCATGGCGACGACCGGAGGAGGCAGAGCGAGCAGGAGCAGGACCAGAGTCAATGCACAGACACACGAACAATGAAACGGACACTTCCCGTTTCCACTATCAAAATAAAAGCACGGACTGAGTCACAGAGAGGTGAAAAACTAGACTATTGCGCCTCTTAGTGGCCATATTATGACCGATACATGTAATATGGAGGTATAAAAAAAGAAGAAAAGTGTCAGACACAGGTCAAATCAACGGGAGGGGAATTATGAAAATAATTTTCAAATTACGATAACAATGACAAAAACTAAATTTATTACAATAACCAAAACACAGCATAAGCATATGGCAGAAATTGTGATAAATAAAATAATAAAATTAATTCAAAAAATGTCTTGCTGTTGTTGTTCATATTATTGTGAAAGTGGTGTTGGTATCATGTATTTGTTATGCCTAATTACATTTAGGATTATATTCCCAAAGTCACATATCATCAAAATACCAAATGAAGGAATAATTTTTGATTTATTTTGAAATGAATAAAACATGAAGAAGCCTATTAGTACGGTACCCAGCTTATAACTTCGTCTTTAATCAGTCCATAGTTTTGTCCGTTGTTGTAGTTGTCTGGTCGATGGAGCGTTTTAAGCGGGAGTTAAGAGAAAGAGACGGAACAACGTTATTGGCCGGATGAGTCTTGGACCAGCGAGTTTACCCACTAACCGTCGGTGTGGTTACATTTCTACTTTAGCTTGCAGTCGCCATTTTGTTTCTTCGGAGAGGAAGCGCGGGCAGAAGGCCGCGGTGGCGTCGACGGAAAGTTGCTGAAAGTCAACAAAACTTTGAGGGAGCTGCTTAATTAATTAATTTGTTTTATCAGATATGTTTTCAATTATTATAGCGAAGACAGACAACACCGGTCCAACTGAAGAGGAGATTAAACGTTGAAGTAAGAACAATAGCTAGCTGGAGGAATGTTTTGTAACTGCACTCAGTTGTCAGGTTATTAGGAACACCTAGCTAAAACTAATCCATCAGTCCTGCTATAAATCCTCCTTCATGACGGTTATAATGTTCAGATTTTTGTTGAAACTGTGTTAAAGATGTGTGAGGCTGCAGTCTGTGCTGCTGTTGAACTCTATTGTGTTATACAGAGAGGTTTGTCAGTTGTGTAGCCTGCCCTCATTTATTTGAATGGGAGGCCAAAATAATAGGAACACCCTCAACAGTATAGGAATTACATGTCAGACAATTTTTAGATACTTGTGCTTCACTTGAGTCTTATTTCCAATTTATTTTACTTCATACTAATACAGTTTAGAGGGAAATATTATACTTTTTGCTCACTACATTTGTCAGACTTACTAGTTACTTTGCAAATTCAGATTTTACACACAAAATGGGATCAGCATAAAATAAAATATGCAATGTTACAGATTAAACTACCCCAAAGTGTCCAACCTCAACATGAAAATGCTATGTAAATATCTAATGCACCTGTTATGTAACCTGCACCTGACAGTACTACTTACTACTTTTACTTAGGTGACATTTTGAATGCAGAATTCAGATCTTTGTATATGTATATATGTATATATATATGTATATATATATATATATATATATATATAGAATTTTCAAAAGACCAAAATAAAAATGAAAGATCAAAATATGCCAAAACGGAATAAAACTTAATAATAATGGAATAAAACTTAATAATAACATGTGGGCCAGGTGATAGATATCTCTCTAGCCTTGTCACTCTTTCTGTAACTCTCCTGTCATGTCTGAATAAAACCCTGAGGAATAACATAATGGGCATCTCTGCATGAATGACAAAAAAATATCGCTTTTTAACTGTTATATGAAGCCAGCAATGTCACATATTCCTTGTCTGAAAAGGGTTACATTCTGGTTTAGGTGATCAGTTATTATACCAGTTATATGTAAAATTATCAAGGAAATTTATCTGATTTGTGTGTGAATCATCTTATTAGGGACATTGTGGCCCCAGCAGCTGCTGCAGTGACAGACGACTGGAGGCAGATGGAGATGGAGCACAGTATATTACAGGTAGGTGTGCATTTCCATCGGATGGTTAAAATATAGTAGAAGAAGAATGAAAGTAGAAAAAAAGTTTACAGTGCAGTGACAGATATGAATGAATAGCCCTCAATTTAATATAATTTAAGGTATTGACAAATAAAATTGTTTTAATCCTCAGTTTAAAACAACTGAGAGTTTGAGAAGATCTCATGTTTTCTAATAGTTTGTTCAGAATACGTGTGGCATGAAAGTTGGAACAGACATAGGTGGATCTTGAGCCTATATGTTACTTTTGAAAGAAGAAATGACCCTTCTTACAAATGAAAAGTTGAATTCATAAGCAACAAACTTTACCTCTACTCAGTTCAATACACTCAGCTCAGACTTATTAACTGCTGTAACACTTCCAACATGACTCTGTAGTCTGAAATAAATGCCTCACATTAATGTTAAGTCTAAGGCAGTTCTTTATAGTCACCTACCTTATCTTTTATGGGCAAATAAACATAAAACACTCAGAGTAAGGCAATTTTAAGTTGTTGAGGATGTTCTTCTAAAATCAGATCTGTCTATAGAATTTTTTTTTTTACCTTCACGGTGTGACTGAGGCACAAAAAACAACAAGAACCTTGCACAACAACAATAATCACTTGAATAATCATCCCTCCCTGCCAACTGCATGGATAAATTCATATCCAACAAAACATGTACATACAACATCTGAGGTTTTTGCCTCAACAGCAAAGTAAGTTATAACTTGATGACTGTGACTCTGTGGGCCAGGCCACAAATATCTCACAAGCCCTGTCACTCTTTCTGTAACTCTTCTGTCATTTCTGAATAAAGCCATGAGGAATTACATAACGGACTTCTCTGTTTGATGAAAAAAATCCATTACTTTATAACTGATAGATGAAGCCAGCAATGTCACACATTATTCATATATTTGTTTGTGAATTATCTTATCAGGGAGCATCACCAGCAGCGGCTGCAGTGACAGACGACCGGAGGCAGGTGGAGCTACAGACTCTCAGGTGAGCTTTCAGTGGTTACGGCTGTAGGTTAATGAGTTGGCTAAAATATAATTCATACAGGTCTTATGATAGTTTTAAGACAGAGTACATTACAGGTAGCTGTGCATTTTCATCTGTTGGTATTTAGAAACTCAATCGGTAACCTTTATCCTTTTAGCATTTATAAGCAGTATATAAAGAAGGCACTGGTTTCTAACTGTCTATAATGTATTTCTAACACACCTAACTCCTCCTGGGCCACCCATAAGTGGGGGCCGCTGTATAAACAGACATTGAATTGCAATATAGTAAAACATAAATCTAATAATATAAAATAAATTCATAGGAGAAGTTTTAATTGCTGACAAAGTCTTTATATTAATGAACACTTAAAACCGTTCCTGTAGCTGATAACAACTACATTATAGTGTAATACAAATCATTTATCAAATGTTTTTATATTGCTTATAAATGCTAAATAGAGGGGTGTAACCTTCGAGTTGGCAATCCCATTGGCAGGATTAAACAGACATTTTGCCAAACCGCTTCAAATACTTGTGAAGTTTTTTGTCTTAGAAACTTAAAGAAAACGTCCTTTAACAGTCTACTTCAAAATGTATATTGTTGGAAGTGGATTTATTTTGTAGAACTATGTGAGGGGAATAAAAAGAACAACATGCACATCTCAGTTTCTGAGTCAGTAATCAGCTGTTGATGGTTGACCGATTTGCAAATAGAGCTATTCATATGCCAGCACCAAGGTAAGTCAGAAATCATCATTGAATGATTACAAGGCAAGAATTTTTGCGAAAACACCCAAAGTGACCTTTCAACAAGAATGGATGTTTGGGTTGTTTACACTGACCGAGGAAGATGGCACACAGATGCTTCTGTTGCTGCTGCCTGGACATGTGCGACTATGTCTGCAACTTCTCCTCAGATGAAAGCGGTGAGGACAGTGAGAAAAAACACCGCCATTTTGAGCTTTAACTCGATCCTGCTGAGGATGTTTGTGATGAGTAAGTAAATTATTTTACCTACGTCAGCTCTGCATAGGCACAGCATATCATATGGCTTTGTACAGCTAAAACTTATGTCATAAAACTTGTCCGCAGCAGATTGTAAAACTGTATCATGTCAATCACAGTGTAGCCAGCAAAGTCAACTCATTACTTGTAAGCTAAAGTTAATTCTCATTTTTTCCAGTTTACCTTCTCAGTTTGTGCTCACTTCTGTTATTTGTAATGCTCTAATGTCCAGAGCAGCCTTCTCGCTGATGAATTATTTTATGTGTCATCATCATATCAGGCTCCTGTAGTGTAATATTGTGTGCTACAATAGTAAGATTGTAATATTTGTTTGAACCAACTACATCAGACTCATGGAGCTTAGTCTCATTAGTGTAGGCTATTGTAACGCATATTATGTCAGGTGTAAATGATGGAAATACTTATAAATATGTTTCATTGTTTGCTATAATGTGTAACCACTGTCATGGAAGACAGAAAGTGATGGTGATGCCGCACCACCACCACCACCACCACCACTGACTGACCCAGATGAGGAAGAAATGAATGAAGAGAGGAAGCTCAGAGCATGACAGACTGTTCTGGGGCAAACCTCTCATGTACATGATTGCAGATGAACGTATGGTGCCTTGCAAAGGATTTCACAGTACGTGAGGTACAAACTAACCAAGTAGATTTCAGGTTCCCCACAGGCCAGGGACTCACTTATGACTGTTGTGTGATTTACACTCTTTAACAGAAGATATTTGGGTTCTGGATACCAAAGCTTTTGAAGAATGTGTTTGCTTGTAGGTTTGCTACTTGTGGACACAGAGCCTACAGAAGACCCCTGCAAAGACAGCATGTGGAGTCATCTGCATGCTACTGCTGGACGCCAAAAGCCCTTTGGAAGTGCAAAGAATGTGATGTCAACCTTTGCCTTCAACAAGACACAAACTGTTTTCAAGCTTGGCATCTTGATCAAGGCTGAAAAGATAAGATGGAACTTTATTCATCCCAAAATGTTGTATTATTCCAGGAATTTAGTGTGATTGCACTTTCAGTTCATCAAAATGTCATCCATTGTATGTTTGGGGTTGATCACAGCATTTTCAATAAACTGGAAAAAGTCCTTTATTGTCTCTTGTCTTCTAATTCACACTGACTTTCCAAACAGATGGGTGTGGGGGGCAGGAAAAGCCACAATGACATTCCAGACGGATGGGCTGCTACCTTTGGCAGTGGGGAGGGGCACTATTAACAGTGTGTTGAGACTTACTTAATCAATATTCGTTGTGCTGAGTTTGTTCCAAATAGAAGCATGTATAGCCCTTTGGAATCAATGTTTTTCAGATAGGTGAAATATATAAAAATGCCAAAGCATGTCTGCCTCTAAAGTGGTTGAAAGTAAGTATTTTAGTTTAATACACTCAAATATGAACTAAGATTATTAACAGAGTTTTGAGAAATAACAGTTGTAGTGATTAAAAAACAAACACATAAGCACACTGATGTAAAACCAGTCAACATACTGTAACATCATAAGTACCCAACCCACAAAAGAGATTTGTAACTTCAGGACCGGTTTGCATCATCTCTCTGTAAATCCTTCACTAAGTCTAGTTCATAGTAACTACTAGCTAGTTTTAAACTAATGATTTATTAAACTGGGTTGCACCAGTCAAACATAAGCGATGTCTTAACAAATAAATACTTAAGTAATGTGTAAATCTTTTACTAAGTAACATCTGTCATAGCGTTGAATCAGAAAACATTTTATGACATAAAAAGTCAATGCAGCATTATGTTTCAGCAAAAGATCCATCAAACGTGTAATAAAGTATTTACAAGCATTATGTGGTGATTTGCTCTGTTGTTAAGCTTAGTTTATAAACAGAATACATGTATAGATATGTTTGTGTATAATGTATATCATTAATACCTGCAATGAAAAGGGAGAGAGAGATCATAGTAGCGTTATGCCACCCAATCGACATTTTTGAGTCAAACCTGTTACCGCCAAAAGTAGCTAGTTTGGATAAGAAAAAAAAAAGATTTCATGATACTTACAGTATCATAAGTCAGGTTTGTTATGTTTACGGTTTTAATTATATTAGTGTTGTCAAAGAATATGGAGTTTGTGCACTGTGGCTTCAGTTATCACCACTTTGATGTAAACATTTGGATCACTCTTGAGAAGGAAAATATTAGCTCCTCACCAACGGAAGACCGCATGAGAATGGCAAAAGAAAACCACAGCAATTAATTACAAGGGATTTGAGGTTAGGGAGGTGCGCAGTTTCCAACTGATGGTTGTCCCACCATTTGTAACACCATTCCCTTTGTTACTTTTTAGCTGCTGCTTTCAACTTAAACTTTCTTTGCTTTCACAATGAACATTTCTGTAGATGTCTTCAAACAGAGGTTATGTCAAGTTTATGTCTTATGAGTTTTTTTTTCAGTGGCAGAAAAAATCGGCACAAAAATACAGCTTATTTTTTTGCACTATCAAATCTGTGTTGCAGTGTCAAATCTGGGTTTAATGGCTGGTACAATAATGATTTTCATTATCTATTATTCTGATGATGTTTCTCAATTACTCCATAAGTTTTTCGGTCTATGAAATGTTGGAAAATGGTGAAGAAATGGAATTTTCCTTCAAGATTCTGTGGAGGCCCATATTCTGTGGTCGATGTATATTCAAAGCACATATGTCACATAAATATTTTTTTAAATACAGATTTAAAAATTTCTTTAGTAAATTTACACTTTGTTTGTAGTACTTTTCAGTGAAGTGTGAAAGAAACAACATTAAAAGACAGTTACACATAAAAACACAAACAAAAATACAATCACACAGAAACGGCAGCTTAAATACACAACCCACACATTGAGCACATACTACTTTATAATTCAGACTGCAAAGTCAGATGTGTTTTGCTGGCCATAAGTAATTCAGGCATAAAAAGTGCCCTGTGGCAGGACTAAGACAACTGTAATTTAGGGTGGGACCTCAGCCTCGGCTTGGACAGCTGAGTGTCAGTCGACAGCATAGATGGTACAAGAGGATGGGCCTGATGGTCTGATCTCTGAGCCCATAGATAAGAGAAGTCAGACATCTGGGAAGGATATAGATGAACACATAAAAAACACTCTTGATACGTACAAGTGCTAACCTTTGCATGATTGTTGATAGTGATTGAAGAATAGAGGTGTGCATAGTTGAGAAGAGACTGAGGCCCAGCTGCACCAGATGCAGCAGCAGCGTGTTACGAGCCTTATGAGCTGAAGCTTTGTCTGCAGAGGCTGACCTGGCTGCTATCATCACACCAATATAGGAGGAAATGATTGCCACAGTAGCAGATACAAACAGACAGTAAGTGTAGGCTTTGTCATAATGATCAGTTATTGACTCAAGCAACATAGTTGTGCTAGAGCAAACATCCTTTATCTGCAGGCTCTCCAGGTCTTCAAATGGAAAATTTAAGAGTAAAAGAACTCGAGTGAAGACATTTAGTAAGCTAATGGCCCAAACCACAATGATAGCCACTGCTGTGTTTCTGATGGTGATGATGGTAGCGTGCCTCAGTGGGTAGCACACAGCTACATATCTCTCCAGAGACATCACCACCAGTGTGAGAGGAGAGATTTCATTTGTGAGCTTGGTGAACATGGAAAGAACACCACACACTGGATATGTCAGCATTATTCTACAAGTAGCAAATATATATAGTAACTGGCTAAATGCCAACTGAGCAGTGTCTGCAAAAAGGAGGTTATACAGAAGAATGTAACGAGAGGTCTCCCGAAACACCAGTTTACTCCTCAGGGTAAAAAGCATGGTGCCATTGATGAAGAGGAACACACAGCATGGCATTCCAATCAGAGTGGAAAACAAGACTCTTTCCAGTAACCCCTGATACTGTTGACCAGTAATGTTGAAATTGATAGTCTGAGATTGGTTTGCATATGACATTTTAGAGAAGCATTTAGGACAAAAAATAAATATGAACTTGTTGATGTAATTGAAGCACAAAAGCACAACACTTTTTTTGCAGTTTGCATTCCTAAAACAGTGAAGACATGTCATCTTTAGAGTACAGATACCTGTTACATTTGCTTGTAAATCAGAAAATTATTCATGTGCATTTTCCCTGTGCCGACAGTTAGCAGTTTAGAGTCCATGGTTAATTCCATGTGAGCAGAGCTGGTCTGCAGGGCTTGTCTGTCCTCACATGCTATTTCTTAGCTCAGTTTACCCACCCACTTCATGACACTACATGGACACCCAATAGTGTGGTCCATGTTCTATTCTCAGTATTGGGAATGAGAACAGAACGTGTCTTGCTTGTATGTGTTGTTATTGTTATATTGTTGTTAATGTTAAACCCCTGAAGGGCCAGAACACTTAAGCTTTAGTGTTGGTTTATTATTAGTGCCACGGGTGCTCAGCTCCGAGGCATCTATTAATATTCCTTCGGGCTTATTATTATTCTTCCGCCAAATTTTGGCGCGTAACTCGTCCCGCAGCTTTGAGAATATAATATATATATTACATATATATATATATATATACATCAAAACGTGCGTCTCGATCCCAAAAGAGGTGCTATGACTTTTGGTGTTAAAATTCCAATTTTTCCCAAAGTTATTCCCAAAAAACTGGGAATAAATAATGCATTAGGAATACATTGGAATTTTCTTCAGAAACCCACAAAATTTCACCTTTTTTCTACAAAATTTCACCTTTTTTCTGAGTCACCCAGCTCTCTCATACCTGCACGTAGAAATGTGATTCAAACTATAAAACGGAGGAAAACTTCTGCTCTCTCCAAAACACAGCAACTGTTTTTACATAACATGTAAACTTTTCAAACTATGAGCACTCAAAGGAGGAGTGGAAATCACTTTTTCTTCAAAGTTAGAGTGACAGCGTCAGTTGGCTAGAGTGCGTGAAGCAGTAAAAAATAACCTTTATTTTTATTTTTAACTCGAGCTCACGGCCAAACCGTAAAAAGGAGACAAATAATTCTTTCTGAAAATGTAGACATAGTTGTTGGGATTCATAAAATGTAACTTTGACAGGCAGGGTCTGCACAAAATTTAAACGGGGGTGCCGAGTCCAACAGCAATACCTGTCTCACTCTCATTGACAGCTAATGTAATTGTCTTTTTTTTTCAAAAGAATCTCACTCTGTCTTCGCACTGAACTTACTCACTCATTTTAAGGAATATCTGAATAAAATAGAGACTGTAGAAACTTCTGGCTTCAGTGTCTGTCACGGTCTTTTCGGTTTTTGAAAAGAAGTAACGGTTTTCTCATAATTTGCAATTGTTTTAAGCCATGTAGAAGCCAAATTCTGGGCAGATTTTCACATTGCCATGGCAACGGCAGCTCCTGACCTGTGTGCGTGCGTGCGCCTAGCAACTAGCTACTATTTTCTTCACTTTTCTTTTTTGATTTGCTGATCATTTTGGCTGTGTTACAGCTGAAGGTATGGATTTCTGCAAGAAAGTGTCTTTTTTGACATATTTTTAAAATCTAATGTCAGTTACTGTTACAGGTCTATTATACACTGGTAACACATTTTGTACCCTCTGGGGTTCCTTGCGTCCAAGAAAGGACACACAAAGAAAATGCTATAAAATCATCATATATCAATATTTTTTTCTGCTTTTTTTTGCATACATCTCTTAAACCACTTCAGTTCTGCTCAAACCTACTAAATGTTTATTAGTTTTCAGGATTTTAACCCTTTAAATGCCAGTTTGAAGACATGTTGCCTCTTGTTTTATTAAAAAAAACAACAGAATATGAGATATTTCCCACATAATACATGATGGAGGGATGTGACATTGTTTTATATCAGAGTCTTTTATATCAAGACATTTTTCAAAACCAGAATATGATCAGGGTGACTTTTGAACACTGGAAATAAATCATGTACTCATCCCGGCAGTAGCCCCTGTGGCACTCAAAATTTTCCTGGAATTTTCTAGTTATTATTTGTCTTCCGCCACAGCTCAAATTTCCGTGAGCTGGAATGAGCCAAAACCATGAAATTTGGCCCAATAACTGGAAATGATGTACAAATGCTTCCCAAGAAATATCAGCCCAG